GGTGCCAGCAGTCATCTACACTGCTTTCTTAACAGGAAGCATTGCCAGGACTTATTTGTAGTGTTGCTATGGAAGGGAAGATGCCACTGTGGAAGCTTTAGCCTCTGTGGATGTCCTCCAGAGGTCAAGATCCTGACTCTGATATACTTGGTGGATTTAGGCTCCAATGCATAAAAGCTTGGGTTGGTAGCTACTATGGTTTTCACTTCTGGGGACAGCTTACCACTCCAGAAGAAAAGAAAGCCTCTTTGAAGAGCAAAATGATTCTGCTTATGAGGGTTTGGGGTCTGGCAATGACTTGAACAGTTAGTCCCCAGTGGAGCCAGCCACACAGAATGAGTTAAAGGTGAGGGTAAAAGAGGAAGAGGGACACAAGCAACTGGGAGAGTTGGGCCTGGATATACAGGCTCTTGTCATAGCCCAAGGATGAGTCTGAATGCCAGCATCCAGGTTTGACTCCATGACCGAATTCAGGAGGAGCAAGCAGAGAAATGGGCAGGGGAAGGTGAAGCTTGGAGATTGCCTCATGCCCATTTTCCTGTGGTAGACTGCATTTGACAGCCTGATGGACTTGCTCAGTGGACTCTTCTGGGGGAGGCTGGCCTTTGCTTTTAAAAGCTTACTAAAGGTAGGGAAGCCCAACTCATTAAAAGGAAAAGCAGAGAACTATTGGTTTCTAAAATATTGGCAATTGATGAAATGAAGTCTGGCTTGGTGACTTGTGCCTCTGATGCTTTACTTTTTTTTTTTTTTTTAACCAGGCAATTGGTTATTTGCCCTGGATCACACAGTTAGTGTCAAGTGTCTAGTCTGAGACCAGTCCTTTTGACTCCAGGGCTGGTGCTCTATTCATTATGCCACCTAGCTGCCCCTGATGCTTTACTCCTGAGTTGAATAATGGTAGGCAAGGTGTCTGGCCCTCACAGGGGAAGGATAGACAGGGCAGTAGTGAATCAATCTACCCTATAGCTATTTAACTTGGAAACCACAGGGAGAGGAGAAACAAGTCAGAAGAGTGAGAGGAATGGGGTTTGAATAAAGACTAGATTTTCATCTTTGAGGACACAGTAGGTCTAACTATTATTCCCCAGAGCCTGTATCCAGAGGGACTGTGAGAACTGATGACCACATGAACGGCAGTACAGGGGCCCTATCTTGCACTGGATCTAGCCGCATGAGACTACCCATCTCAGAGATCCCTTCCCAGGTTGCCATATCAAGGGGAAAGAAGGCTACTGGAAGAAACTCCTCTTGCCCCTACAAGAAGAAATTTCTGGCCTGTTTTTCCAAGTCTGTGCTGATTAGTTCATTTTACCCTCCAATTGATGGCTCTTGTTTGCTCTGTCTTGATGAACAAGTATAATTTGTTTTTATGTACTTATTGTGGAATTGGTTGAGGCTGATTAATAAAGATATAAAAAAAGTTCTAAGTCATAATTAAGCAGGAAATTTTACCTTAAGGAGGCAGCAAGAAGCTTCAGGATTTCCTCATGTCATTTGAAACTTGAGACCTTCCTGTTCTAATTCCATATACTGGGCCTTACTTAGAGCACAGGTAATATAGCAGCGTTAAGGTATTTTCATTTCCTTCTCCCTTTCCTGTGATTATGTTTTATGACAGGTTTTTCTCTAGAAGCTGTTGTGTTGGCTGAAAGTCAATCATATGTGTGCACAGCCTTGTGTTGAGGGAGTCAGTCCAGTCTCAGTTGAATTGCAGTTAGTTCTCTTTCTCCTGAAATATTGTAGTAAATAGACTTGTTCTTAATTTCATTCTGGAGTGGTAGAATTATTTCCTAAAGAAAAGACATAGCAGTTCTGGGAATAAGGTACTTATTTTTTTTATTATTTTAATTTATCAACAATCGCTACCATAAGATTTTGAGTTTTAAAATTTTCTCTCCCTCCCTCCTCCTGCCCAAGAAAGCACACAATCTAATATAGGCTATACATATACATTGGAAATAAAATATTTACTTGAGGCTTTTTGGGGGGAATACCTGGGGCAAGGAAGGCCAGAGAGACAATGAGCCATTCTCACCTAGGTTTAAGCTTAGACCTCTGGTCTTCAGACCAGAGACAGTGACTTAGGATATGACCCAATCTTAAATCCCTGGGTGCAATAGGATTCCCAAATTATTATAAGAATATGAGGAAGGGAAGGATAGTTGGCTTAACCCGGGTGCCACCTGAGTTTCTTGCTTCTCCTTTCTATATACAGCCTCTGAAATTGGGGTCCCCAAGTGAAAGTGCTCCCTGCTACCCTATCTATCCTTCTGCTTCCCCTGGAAGAGCCTGAGCTTCACCTCAGAATGGAAGTTACCCGGGAAGTGTCAACTCCCTGTGGTTCTCAGAGAGTAGATGACCTACTCCTGGATCCACTCTGGGTGGCTGTGAATTATAGAGTTATGTGTTACATAAATTATGCAATAATTTGTATAGAACTTCCGTATTACAAAGTCCCTTCCTTCCGCAAAACAATTCTATCAGGTAGTGAATGCAAATAGTCTTATCCCAATTTGACAGAAAAGAAAACTGAAGTTAGCCGGAGGCCACGAGGCTGGTGTGTGGAATTTGATTTGATCTGTATGTTCATGACACCTTCAAATTTTTGTTTTCACTGAGAGCCTGGGTAGCTGATATTTTTAAAAATTCATTTCATCTCTGAGTATTGTACAAATTCTCCATATTATTTCTGATTCTTTCTGCCTGAAAAGGTTGTGAGGGATTGTCTGATGTTGGCTACGTGCCACGTGGAGGTTGTGGCAAGATGGGGCAGAGACAAGATATTAGTAAGTAACCGGAGCTCACGCTCCCGAGGCAGGGGGCTGTGCCATGTGGAGTTGTGGTGAACTGGGATAGGAACTGGATACGGGGAAGTAACCAGAGCATGTGCTCCTGAGGCAGGGGGCTGTGCCACGTGGGAGTGGGACGGCAGAGAATGAGCTTCCTTTGTCACGTCCTCTCCCTAGGTGCAGCGCTAACCCCAGACGTCTCCTTCCTGTATCCGGGCCTAGCCTCCTGTGTCACGTCCTCTCTCTTGGTGCAGTGCCAACCCCAGACATCCCCTTCCGGTATCTGATCCTACAATCAATGACTAGTAGGTGGGCTGAGGAGGAGGGGCTAGGAAGGTATATAGGGGCAGTAGGGGTTAGAGCTTGCTCTCTCTTGCTACTGCTCTCTTGCTCTGGCTTTCCTGCTTGGCCTTGCTGTGATGGCCTCTGAATAAAGCTCGAGTGTTTGCACCTCCTGATCAGCTCGTCTCTGTGTTTATCCGGGTGGGCACCGAAGACTGGTAAGTATGACCCTGGCAGCCTGCTCCTTATAGGAGGAGAGTGCACGGCGTGACCGGCACAAAAGGTGACTTCGATTAGACTTTATTGAAGACAACTTTATATGACTGTTCTGCCCCGTACACTATTGCTTCATTTCCGTCGAAGTAGGTGTGGTAGTTTCTGGCCTGGAAATCTATCTAGTAGGCTGCTTTGGGCCCTTGAGCTGTCAGGACATGACAACTGGGCTTGCCATATTGCTGTTTTCTCCCAAAGGAGGGCACAATCATCATTGGGGTCTTTGGTTTCAGCAGTCTGTCAATGAGCAATCGGAGCTATGAAGAAGGGGAGTCAAGAAAATAAATGCAGATACACAGAATGAGTTAAAGGTGAGGGTAAAAGAGGAAGAGGGACACAAGCAACTGGGAGAGTTGGGCCTGGATATACAGAAGAGGCAGCTCTTTTGAATCACCATCTCTCATCCAGACTGTCCTCAGCCTGTCTCCATGCTTTCCTCAGTTCTGAAGGGATCAGTGTTTATACCAGTTCCTATAAGTTTATTTCCAGGAGTATAATCCCCAGTCTCCAACCAATCCCTGCAAGCTAGCATTTTTTCCAAAGCAATGACCTAGGCTACCTCAAGCCCTCTCAGCCCATTTTAGGAAGCCAGACACCTGGTCTCACATTACTTATGCTGAATGGGTGTTGCCTCAGTCAAACTGCTGGGAAAGACCTTAGCTTAAAAAGGCCAAGGGCTCCCACAGCATCCAGGGCCATCTCCAGTCATCCTGATCTATATGTGGCCACTGGACCCAGTAACTCTAGAGGAGAAAGTGAGGCTGGTGACTTTGCACAGCCTGGCCTCACTTAAATAACCTGAGGTCATGGTCCTCTTTGAGAACAAAGGACAAACAACAATAACAAAATCCAAAGATAGAAACACCAGAGGTTCAGTCACCAAAGCAGACTTTATTTAATAGTCAGCTAACATGGAGAAATCATAGCTCTGTGCTCTTGCTTTCAGTGACTTGGGTTTCCTGTCAGAGGCCCCCAGATGAGTCCATGAAGATGCCAGATTCAAAGTCTACCAAACAGGGAAGGACAAGAGCCTTTCTGTGGTTCACCTTCCCTTCCTGTTTCTGGTCCTATTCTTCTTGAGTTGGGTCATGGAGTCAGTCCTGGTTGCTGGCATTCAGACTCCTGCTCAGAGAAGGCTGGAGTCCCACCAGGGAGCGCCCACCCTTCAAATTCAAAAAACTTTCCTGGACCCCTAGTCCATTTCATCAAAACCACTATCCTCCCCCCCCCCCCCCCCCTCCCCCTCCTCCTCCTCCCCCTTTTCCTCTTCCTCCTTCTCCCCCTCCCCCTCTTCTTGTTCCTCCTCCTCCTCCTCAGAGAGGTGCTCTTTACTGCACCTGAAGTAGTAGCTGAGCCAAAAGCAAAAGAGGGAGAGGCGATCCCAACAGGACACTTCTGCGTCAGGATTACAGAATCGGAACGTACTAGGGCACAATCTCAGAACACCACAGGGGCAGTACATAAGAGTTCCAAGGCAGAAGCTCTCTTGATCACAGCAATTCTCCATGTTCCTTAGGCAGAGAGGTCTTCTAAAACGAGTCTGATAGCCACTGTTTTCTGACTTACCTCTTCTTGCCTCTTCTCTACTATAAGCTGAGGGCAGAAGTGGTACACTTTTACTAGCCCCTCCAAGGGAAGGAAAGCTTCAGGCCTTCAGGGTCCTGGGCTCCAAGGGAAGGAAAGCTTCACATCTTCAGGGTCCTGGGCTCCAAGTGCTCCAATCCAAATCCAAAAGGATTCAGCCTTTTGGTAAATATGCTGCTAGGCTCAATAAAGACTTGTTCATTGATTAGTTTAATTGACTGACAAAAAGGTCCTCCAGACTTGACTTGATTTAATCAATCAAACAATCTGCAGCCCAATCTTTTGTTAAGTGATGGCTCAGGGTAGACTGAACTAAACAAAAGAATTGAGAATGCAAAGACTTTAATCACTCTAGTCGGATTGGAGGAGACCTGTTATTGAGACATTTAAGTATATACAAGTTGTTGAGTCTGACCCCATATGGGGTTTTCTTGGCAAAGATACTGAAGTGGTTTGCCCTTTATGTCTCCAGATCATTTTATAGATGAGGAAATTGAGGCAAATGGGGTTAAGTGCTTTGCCCAGGGTCACACAGCTAGTATATGTCTGAGGCCAGATTTGAAGTCAGGAAGATGAGTTTTTCTGGACTCCAGGCCCTACTGCTAAGTACTTACATTGTGCTTAGTACTGTGAATATAAATGCAAAAAGAGAGACAGTCTCTGCTCTCTGGATGCTTAGAGTCTAATGGGGAAAGTAATACATAAAAGGAAGCCAAAAAGAGTGAGAAATGGGTGAGTGGGGTGGGAAGGGCCTGGCACAAAATACAGAATATCCAGAGTACAACTTGGAGATGAATGAATCTACAGAAAGCTCAAAATTGATTGGACAGTCCTAATATGAAGAAATCAAGATTTCCACTCTGATAATAAAAGACTTTTTAAATACATAAACAGGCAGGATTGAAGGTAGAAATTGGTTAAGTTTATAGTTGAGAGGTGGGCATGTGGCATGATGAACAGAACCTGGTGACACCCTGCTTATCAGGAAATAGATTTTTGGGTTTTTTTTTTTTTTTTTGCTTTTTTGGTGAGGCAACTGGGGCGTTAAGTGACTTGCCCAGGGTCACACAGCTGGTAAGTGTGTCTGTCAAATGTCAAGTATCTGAGATCAGATTTGAACTCAGGTCCTTCCGACTCCAAGGCCAGAGCTCTATCCCCTGCGTCACCTAGTTGCCCCTGGGAATCGATTTTGTGTGTGTGTGTGTGGGACTACCTTACAGAATGGGAGGGTACATGAAAGTGGGGAGGGGAGCAGTGGGATAGAGGAGAGCCGGTGATGTGCCTGGGTCAAATCAAGGGCTAGCCATGAGGGGGAAGGTGACCCCTGTGGTTTCTTACAAAAAGATGAGCCTACAGAGAAGTAGATGAGAAGAGGGGAAGGATTGAAAAGAAGGGAAAAAGAAGGAGGCCTTACTTTGGTTACTTACTTGGTGGAAGGAGAGAATCTATTGATAAATGCTTCTATGGGCGTAAAGAGATATTCTATTAAGGGAGATGGGGACCACGTCCTGGGTTGGTAGGATTTGGTGCATGAAAAGACCATTTGTTCTACCTCAGGAATGGGAAGAGTTGGAAATACTGAGGGCAATTGGCATCTGGAGGAATGGACCCAGGGAGGAGATTTTGAGGCAAATGTTTGTTTATAGGTATATGATTCTCTACCCCCGCCTCAACCCCATAGCTGTTAATGGCATCCTAGAAACTTTGGTATGTTATTTCATAATTTTTTTTTAATATCACCCCAATCCCAAAGCCCATTCATATGGGACTCTGTCATTGGTGGAGATCAATGCCACACACCTATAGAGAACTCTCTTTCATCAAGGTAACTCTGCTGATCTTCAACTCCCTCACACAGATGTGGGACATTGATCTCCAAAAATAGAGAGTCACATACAAATTGGCTTTGGAATTGGGGTTATATTCACATAATTATTGTTTCTATGAATCCCCCTCTTTATTTAGAATTTCACTGTTAAGGCTACATTTAGATCTATGACTTTTGTTTGCAGTCCTTCAACTAATGACTATTTTTATTGTGTTATGGTCTATAGAGGATATATTTACTTTTTCTGCCTTTTTACATCAGCTCAAAGACCAGATTTTCATCTCTGAGAAAGATACAAGCAGTTCTAACAATTATCCCCCAGATGTCTCTCCAGAGCCTGCATCCTAAAGGAATGTGAGAACTAAGGCCCACATATGTGGTTCTGTGGAGGCCCTGTCTTGAACTGGATCCAACCTTGTGAGACCACCCATCCCATAGCAGACCCCATCCCTTTCCAGGCTGCTAAGGCTGCTAGAGCAGGAAGCCCTTCCTACCTCTTGGCAGTCCCTGTGTATTTCTAAGTCTGTGTTGATTAGCTCACTTTATCTCTCCCAGGGATGGATTTTATTTGTTCTTTCTCCATACAGTTAGTTTAGCCACTAACTGCCTTCTTATGTGACTATTGTGATAAGTACCTGAGGTAAAATGATGAAAATTTTAAAAAGCTCTTACTTAAAATTAAGCGAAAGTTTTGCAGTGGATAAAGCACTGGGCCTGAAGTCAGAGAGACTCATCTTTCTGACTTCAAATCTGGCCTCAGACACTTATTAGCTATGGGACCCTAGGCAAGTCACTTAACCCTGTTTGCCTCAGTTTCCTATCTGTAAGATGAACTGGAGAAGGAAAGGGCAAACCATTCCAGAAAACCCCAGAAGGAATCATGAAGAATTGGACGTGACAGAAAACAACAGCAACAACAACAAACTACTTCCCTGTATAATAATAGCTTCTAGAACAGTCTGGGTTCTGTGATCTAGGATGGAGAAAAATTACATCTTTATTTTCACTCACCTCTAATTTAAATTTAGCATTTCCTTTCATTATGAAAACCTGATTCTGCCAAGGGGTTCTTAGGTTTCACCAGACTGCCAAAGGGGTCTTTGACACAGAAAAGGTTAAGGACCCTTGTCCTAGTCAGTGGAGTAAAAGAAAGTCTTTAATAATTTTGTAGAGATATTGTCAGATCACTTAATGACACTAGGTGTCACTCTGTTTCACCCAATTGCAGATTAGGATGCCTCAAAAAGTGATGTTGGCTAATTATCACCCTCTGATTTTAATTGTTTGTTAATAACTGGCCAAAACATTTGAAGTAATTGTGAACTCTGACCCCATGCAGAACGACTAGGGACAACTTGCAAAACTCCTTTGTATTTTTATTGTTTAGTTGTTCAGTTGTGTCCAACTCTTTGTGACCTCATGGATCATAAGCCGGCCAGGCCCTTCTATCCTCCATTATCTCCTGAAGTCTGTCCAAACTCAAGTTCATTGCTTCCATGACAACACTATCTGCCCTTTTTATCTCCTGTCATCTCCTTTTTCTTTTGCCTTCAATCTTTCCCAACATCAGGGTCTTCTGTAATGAGTCCTAGCTTCCCATTTTATGGCCAATGCATTTAAGCTTCAGCTTCAGTGGACCCTTAGAATGTCAGGAAATCTCCCCACCCATCCCATTCCAGTGTTTGGACTTCCATAGTGAATTTAAGGCGGACATGGACTACAGTCACATTCCAGGAGCAGGGATGGATAGGCAGCGATCTGCATCATTGACGAGAACATCTGCATCTTTGAGATGACAGATCCATGGAGAATTTGAGCTAGTATTAGCAAGGCTGAGACCAGAGCTTGAGTATGGCTCTATGACTTACTTTTATCCAGTTTTAAAAATCATTTTATTATTTAATCACTTAATGATTCCATTTTTAATCATTTCAAGGATATGGAGAAGAAGATAGAGTTGGGAAAAGATGTGAAAAGATCTAGATGCTAGATTTTATTTATTTTTAATTTTTTGTATTCTGGACTTGTTTCATTTTGTAACACCTTTAATATGGTTTTTCTTTCAGAAGAGAATTTTTAATAGAGTATTACATAAAAAGATAAATACATTTCCTACCTTCTACCAGCTGACAACCTCAAGGCCTAAAATGACATTGATTATTTCTCATAAAAGCCATTTTGCTAATGGACTCTAAAGAGATAATTTTGGGTATTAAAAAAAGTTGAAAGAATCAGCCAGACCTAAATGTTTCATATTTAACATGGTAGCTAGTGGAGATTAAAACTGTTCATCAGAATGAGAAATAATTTTGTCTAACACAGTTCTAAGACTTCATGATCTCTTTAGTACAAATTGCCCTAAATACTTGAGCTATGTAATCAGAATTGGAAAATTATACTACAAGTGGTTTGAGCATTCATTTCTATGGGAAGCTAAGTTAAAAGGAATCTAGTATGGTTACAAGTGCTTTCAACAAAGCATTTTTTAAGTGTGAACATATGCATAAAAGTACAAGATCCATGGTAGTTCATTTTTTATTGTTCAAAGAGGATGGGCACCTCTGGTGTGAGGGATTACTGAGCTCTTTTCAGGGCTGCTCATCCACCTTTGATGTCTACTCATCCAACACTCACCTGTGGCTCCAAGAGGCTGTAGCATGCACAGTGGCTACACCCTGATAAAACCATCTAAGGAGGTGGATTAAACAAGGTTGAGAGTAACCTACAAGCCTCAAACCCATTGGTGAGTCAGGGGAGTGTCAACCCCAAGCATGTGAAGACTTCCCCCTTTGGAGGTGTTAAGAACAATTTGTCCCAACAGCCATGAAGTTGGCTGAAGCAGGTGCTGTGAAGCTCTTAGATCCACTGCATCCTGGGCCATTGCCAGTCATCGTGACATTTGGAAGATTCTGGAAGAGAGAGGGATGCTGATGTCTTGCACAATTCTGCTTCACTTAAATCCAATGCATAGGCAAGTGATGAGATCACTCCGTGATGTCATTGATCCTCTTCAAAGATGAAGGGTGAACAGCTGGCAAGTAAGCAAAACAACTGAAACCATGATAAAACTCTTAAACTATTTTTTTTTAATAGGAAGGCTCAGCCAGCAGTGTGAGATTCTGTGAATGTTCTGGATCGTCTCTTTCCTACACTGTAGAACTGAAGTAGGTCAAAGGAAAGGCCTGCCTATGATCCAGTCCAACATCAGCAAATCCTCCCTAGCCAAGCCAAGGTTCTATGAGCAACCAAACCCTTGCTTAGGGATGCTGACTGGATCCTAATCACCCTGGGCAGCTGCAGTATTGTCCAAGATTCCACTTCAACTTACGAATGAAGTATTAAATCAAGTAAGATGCTGTACCCATAGTTAGACTGTTTCTGAAAGCAATCAGCTACCTAGGTGGTGGCTGATGGACTAACTTCTACTTTAAAAAAAGAAGAAAAAGGGGCAGCTCGGTGGCACAGTGGATAGAGCACCGGCCCTGGAGTCAGGAGGACCTGAGTTCAAATCCAGCCTTAAACATTTGACACTAGCTGTGTGACCTGGGCAAGTCACTTAACCCCATTGCCTAGCAAAAAAAAAAAAAGATATATTCCTAATGTTGCCTAACACAAACAGTTCATTGAAATAATTCAGAACACATGTTAAAAATTTAAAAAAAAAATCAAAACAAAACAAAAAAAGAAATAATTCAGTGCATCATTTTGTACCTATACAAGGAATTCCCTACTCCCATCTTTAAGTAACATAGAAGAAACATGCTTACCAATTTTTTAATTTTTTATTTTGAATTTAATCATCAGAAAAAAGTATTTCCATACACAGAAAAGAACACAAAAAGTGGATTCTATATGAAACTATGCTTTCAATTTACATTGATTGCAGTTTATATTTTTGTAAATATTTATCCATTTCACCAACATGGCCAAATTTATTGGCATAGAGTTGGGCAAAATAGTTCCTAATTATTGTTTTAATTCCTCTTCCTTGGTGGTGGATTCACCCTTTTCATTTTTGATACTGGTAATTTGGTTTTCTTCTTTCTTTTTTAAATTAAATTAGCCAAAGATTTATCTATTTTATTGGTTTTTTTTTTCATAAAACCAGCTCTTATTTTTATTTATTAATTCAATAGTTTTCTTAATTTAAATTTTATTAATTTCTCCTTTGGTTTTCAATATTTCTAATTTGGTGTTTAATTGAGGATTTTTAATTTGTTCTTTTTCTAGTTTTTTTTAGTTGTATGCCCAATTCATTGATCTCCTCTTTTCTATTTTATTCATGTAAGCATTTAGAGATATAAAACTTCCCCTAAGAACTGCTTTCGCTTCATCCCATAAGTTTTCGTATGTTGTCTCATTATTGTCATTCTTTTGAATGAAGTTATTGATTGTTTCTATGATTTGTTGTTTGACCCAATCATTTTTTAGGATTAGATTATTTAGTTTCCAATTATTTTTTAGTCTATCTTTCCATGGCCATTTATTACATATAATTTTTATTGCATCATGATCTGAAAAGGATGCATTTACTATTTCTGCCTTTCTGCATTGGATTGTGAGGTTTTTATGCCCTAGTACCTAGTCAGTTTTTGTGTATGTGCCATGTACTGCCGAGAAAAAAGTATATTCCTTTCTATCCCCATTCAATTTTCTCCAGAGGTCTATCATACATACCTAACTTTTCTAATGTTCTATTCACTTCCTTAACTTCTTTCTTGTTTATTTTGTGGTTAGATTTATCTAGTCCAGAGAGGGGAAGGTTAAGGTCTCCCACTAGTATAGTTTTGCTGTCTCTTTCTTCCTGTAACTCCTTGAACTTCTCTAAGAATTTGGATGCTACACCATTTAGTGCATATATGTTTAGTAATGATATTACTTCATTGTCTATGGTGCTTTTTAGTGCCCAGATTAATAGAAGAGGAAGTAAAATACTTAAATAACTCCATCGCAGAAAAAGAAATTGAACAAGCCATTGATGAACTCCCTCAGAAAAAATCTCCAGGGCAGATGAATTTACAAGTGAATTCTATCAAACATTTAAAGAACAATTAATTCCAATACTATATAGACTATTTGGAAAAATAGGTGAAGGAGTCTTACCAAATTCTTTTTATGATACAAATACGGTGTTGATACCTAAACTGGGAAGAGTCAAAACAGAGAAAGAAAATTATGGACCAATTTCCCTAATGAATATAGATGCAAAAATTTTAAATAAAATATTAACAAATAGATTATAGCAACTCATCACAAGAATAATACACTATGACCAGGTAGGATTTATACCAGGAATGCAGGGCTGGTGCAATATTAGAAAAACTGTCAGCATAATTGATCATATCAACAACAAAACTAACAGAAACCACATGATCATCTCAATAGATGCAGAAAATTATTTTTTTTAACAAAATATAATACCCATTTCTATTAAAAAACACTAGAGAGCATAGGAATAAATGGAGTCTTCCTTAAAATAATAAATAGCAACTACCTAAAACCTTCAGTAAGCATCATATGTAATGGGAACAAGCTAGAAGCATTTCCAATAAGATCAGGGATGAAATAAGAATGTCTATTATCACCACTGTTGTTCAATATCATACCGGAAATGTTAGCTTTAGCAATAAGAGAAGAAAAAGAAATTGAAGATATTAGAATAGGCAAAGAAGAAACAAAGCTCACTCTTTTTTTCTTTTTTTTTTTTGGTGAGGCATTTGGGGACTTGCCCAAGGTCACACAGCTAGTATGTGTCAAGTGTTTGGTCTGAGGCCCAATTTGAACTCAGGTCCTCCTGACTTCAGGGCTGGTGCTCTATCCACTGCGCCACCTAGCTGCCCCAAAGCTCACTGTTTGCAGATGATATGATGATATACTTAGAGAATCCTAGAGAAACAAGTGAAAACTACTTGAAATAATAAACAACTTTAGCAAAGTTGCAGGCTATAAAATAAACCCACATAAATCATCAGCATTTCTATGTATTACCAACAAAGCGCAACAGCAAGAGATAGAAAGAGAAATTCCATTTAAAGATACTGTAGACATTATAAAATATTTAGGAGTCTACCTACTGAAACAAACCCAGGAACTATATGAACACAATTACAAAATACTTTTCACACAAATAAAGTCAGATCTAAATAATTGGGAAAAATATCAGTTGCTCATGGGTAGGCCAAGCTAAAATAATAAAAATGACAATTCTACCTAAGCTAATTTACTTATTCAGTGTCATACCAATCAAACTACCAAAAAATTATTTTATAGAGTTAGAAAAAATAACAACAGGATTCATTTGGAATAACAAAAGGTCCAGAATATCAAAGTAACTAATGAGAAGAAATGCAGGGGAAGGTGGCCTTGCCATTCCATATCTTAAATTGTATTATAAAGCAGCCATCATCAAAACTGCTTGGTACTGGCTGAGAAATAGAGTAGTGGATCAGTGGATTAGGTTAAGTATGCAAGACATAGTAGTCAATGACTATAGTAATCTATTATTTGATAAACCCAAAGACCCCAGCTTCTGGGATAAAAACTCACTCTTTGACAGGAACTGCTAGGAAAACTGGAAAAGAGTATGGCAGAAACTAGGCATAGATAAAAATCTCACACCATATACCAAAATAAAGTCAAAATGTGTTCATGATTTAGATATAAAGGCTGATACTCTAAGCAAACTGGGAGAGCAAGGAGTAGTTTACCTATCAGATTAATGGAGAGCAGAAGAATTCATGACCAAACAGGAGATAGAGAACATTACAGAAAAGCAAAATGGCTAACTTTGATTCCATTAAATTGAAAAGTTTTTGTACAAACAAAGCCGATGCAACCAAGATTAGAAGGAAAGTAGAAAATTGGGAACTGTTTTACAACCAATGTCTCTGATAAGGGCCTCATTTCTAAAATATATGGAGAGTTAAGTCAAATTTATAAGAATACAAGTCAAAAAAAAATTTTTTTAAAAATCTCTTTAGCCTCCATGATAAACTCAACCATAACGGTGTGGTGATGCCCTGCAAAAAAAAGAAAAAAGAATACAAGTCATATCAATGGATATGAACAGGCAGTTCTCAGTTGAAGAAATTAAAGCCATCTATAGTCATATGAAAAAAGTGCTCTAAATTACTATTGATTAGAGAAATGCAAATCAAAATCACCCTGAGGTACCACATCACACCTATCAGATTGGCCAACATGACAAACCAAGATGATAAATGTTGAGGAAGATGTGAGAAAATTGGAACACTAATGTATTGGTGGTGGAGTTGTGAAATGATCCAACCACTCTGGAGAGCAATTTGGAACTATGCCCAAAGGACTATAAAACTGTGCATACCCTTTGACCCAGCAATAGCACTTCTAGGGCTATATCCCAAAGAGATCATAAAAATGGGAAAAGGACCCACGTGTACAAAAATATTTACAGCAGCTCTATATGTGGTGGCCAAGAATTAGAAATTGAGGATTTCCCCATCAATTGGAGAATGGCTGAACAAGTTGTGGTATGTGAACGTAATGGAATACTATTGTGCTATAAGAAATGATGAACAGGCTGACTTCAGAAAAACCTGGAAAGACTTGTACTGTCTGATGCTGAGTGAAGTGAGCAGAACCAAGAGAACGTTGTACACAACAGCCACGTTGTGCGATGACTTATATTGATAAACTTAACCCTTCTCAGT